ATTGAAAGCCTTGAATTTCTGATGAAAAGCCATGTTTTATTCTCTAATCACTCTCATGGAGTTTCTCCAAACCTGATCCAATTTGTCAGCAATCTTCTTGAGCTGTGGACCTCAGCTTGTGATGTGGTATTGCTGCAGTAACGGGACCCTGTGTGTGAATAAATAAGATAGTTTCACAAATCCTATATAACACCTCTTGTTGCCCTTTGCAGAATTGTGGGATTTGGGGAGTTGTCATTGCACTGATTTTTTTCTCCAAGGCCTTTCATTCTTCTCCAAAGTCACAACMCTACTAGAACAGAATCTTCCATTTTTTTTGTGTGTTCTGCATTTTATTGTTATTAAAACATGCAGAGGTTTGGACATAATGACACTCATATTGTTGCTTCCAGTTAGTTTAACAAATGATGCCCAAACTGTTAGCAGTGACTTGACCTCATCACCCCTTTTTTTGTATGTCCTTTCTAAACACAATTAATAATTATTTTCTGTATCATTYAATTTCATTAAGAAAAGCCCAGAATGAGGCAGACAATGCATACTTAATGAGTTTTCCCATTAGAAGCCTATACATTTGTTTATGATTTCTTTAAATTGCATGTTGAATTCTGTCAGTCACTCAGTTGTTAAGCCATTTGATAACTATCCTTCTGGGCTTACTTAATCAAAAATTTTGCCTTACYGGGGTTGTGTCACACTGCAGTTTATCAAATTTCACCAGAATGATATTTTCATTATTAGTAAAAGCAGAATATAATCTTTAGAAGTTTCAGAAGGTTTGTTTTTGCAAACTTGTACTGAGGCAATTATTACAAGATGATGCCAATTTTMAAACTGCTGTCAGTATATAGTAGTTTATTTTAATTTTGTGTTAATGGAATGCAAAATCAGCCATTCCTTTGCCTTTCCCAAAACTTATATCAAACTCACYGGAGAGGGCTGGATATCATTAGAAAGTTTAAAAAGTACTCTCTGAGTACTTTTGGAAAAGTATCATTGCATGAGAGATTTCTCACAGTTCCCTAGGATTTTGTAGCTCTTCCAAACTTTCTGAAAACCTGTATTAGTTGATCAGAGATCCCCAACAGCTCCTCTTTTGTACTTGGCTGCAAGTTAGACATATATAAAGATTTAATAAGACTAGCTTTCATGCATCTTCCTGGATTAATGCTGAAATACGCTCACTGTAGCACAGAAATACTTGTTGCATGTAGCTGCCTTTTCTGTGGAATCACTGATAATCTGAGCATTTCCACTTCATTAGTTTAATGTAGAGTGAGAACCGGAAGAGATCACCAGATCCTCTAGTTCAGCCTTCAGAACATCCTAAGTATAATTCCAGTTCCTTAAGAAATGTGCAGAGTTATTTAAGACAGGACAGATAAGTTTTGGTGGTGTAATAGGTGATGAGTGGTGAGCCGGTGCTGATGCAGCCATGATAAGCCTTAGATACCTCTCTCAGCCATTGTTTCCTGGCACATCCTCATGTGGAACCAGCCTTTTGCAGGCTCAGACAAGGCAAGTGAATAAACCATTGTATTAAGGCATTTAAATCAAGTTTAAAGACCAACGAGTATAATGAAATACGGACTGAGAAAACGTAATTTGTTTGTGTCTACATGTTCCTACTGGAATAATTATTCCCTATTGGAAACTTTTGCCTGTCAATCCCTAGCTATTTAAAACTGCAACAACAATATCCAGTTGTTGCTTTCTTGTGTCCTCAGTCTTTATCCTAGCTTTTGTTAGGGACAATGCAGTGGTATTCATCAGCAACAATAAGACTGTTATGTTTCATTGTATTTTTTCCARAGCTATACAATGTTCTAGCCATTATGGAAGGGATTGCAGTCAGCTGAGTGATGTTTACATGCCACTTCCATACCCTAATAAGAGGTATAAAAGAAAGTGTATTGTAGCCAGCAGGGCAGAGATTCAGCTTGGAAAGCCAGGACTTCTGCCTTGTGTAGAAATGCAGGAGAGGAAGATAGTACTACCCTGCCTAGTGTGCTTTGATTTTTGGCCTTTGCTGTAGCACCATGARTGTCAGTGGTATCTGCTGCAAACTGCTTATTCATGCTGCTGCTGTGATCATTTGCTTTTGGGCAGTATTAATTTTGTGGCTGTGCTAAGTTAGGGCTCCATTTCCAAGGACATCAATGGCGTGGCTGTCTCGCTTGTCCTGGCAGCAGCTGGACTCGTCCGTGTGATGGGGCCGTTCTTGACTGTGTTTGTTGGCGTTCCCATAAAAGCATTCCCACACACCTACGCCAGCGGGATCAGTGCTTTTTCTGGAAGCAGGGTCTTTCCAGCTTTTTCTAGCGTGGTGCCTCACAGTCACATGCTGGAGGTGACGGGCRTTTCTGAGACATTCCTGTGCGTTTCTCAGCCCCGGTTCGTGTGGCTGGGCTCTTCTGCTCTTTGTAGTGGCAGCTCGTTTCACAAGACTCATGGAAATCATATGGCTGCCTGAGGTCATCACAAGGGGGATGAAGATCCCGAGTTTGCAAATATGTGGGTTGAGCCTGAGGGTACATTTTTGACACAGCTGTCAGGCAAAGCAGAGGTTCCACCACATTTCTGCTTTTCAAACACGGCATCCTTGACCCTTGACACTGTGGCTTCTGGGAACTATAACTGTTTCTGGATTCATGGGAGGTTGAGAGAGAGCAGGAATCCTAATAATTAATACTTCTTGGAAGAAGAAATGAAATCTCTGCCTTAGTTTGGGTATGGGTGGTACAGGATTCCCCTTTGCATAGCCAGCTGGAGAAACATCTTCATATTCCTTGGTGTCTTTGAAGGTAACGAGGCAGGAGGAAGATGTGAGATGTGCTAGCAKTTGCTTCCAGGTAATCAGACCCCCGTGCTAAATCACTCCATTTGTTAGTCAGAAGCTACTTTGTGCTTTTAAACATTCTTCTTGATAAAATGAAGGCTGGTTTGGTTGAACAAKAAAGCTTGTGACCACAGGTACATATAGATGGTTTTCGGTGTTTCTTCCCGTGACTGCATTGTGACTGTTTATATAATTTACCATTAGTCATCAACAGACTGCATAGGTTGCTGGTTGAGGGTGTTGACTCATGTGTTATGGCAAATGCCAGCCATTGTGATTAAAAGATCGTGTCTCAAAGCAATGTCTATTCTGGATTGTGCCCTAGTTGGGAGTTAAAGAGGGTTTCTGCTCTGTGACCCSCTTTGTGCAACACAGTTTTATGATTCTGTGATATATATGTCTGAGAAAGCTCGAAAAGGGACTTTAGCCTTCTTCTCAGTCCATGTTTATCAGTTCTGGTGGGAACTTTTTCCCGCATCAATAATGTTTTTCTTCTTCAGGAGATGAGGAAATGAGGTTCACTTTGCTGTGAGAGGCTGAATTTTGGTCCCAGCTAGAGACAGGACATTGAGCAGGAGGAGCTGATGCTCTTACCCGTCATAAAATTGCTTATGAGCTTGGTTACTGTACCCTGCCCATGCACTCTGGGCTGAACCCCATCACAAACCAGGCTGGGAAGGAATCTATCTCTGTGTTAGTTCCTCAGAGACTTGTGGTTCTTTGTCTTCCTCTGTAGTGTAGAGCACACTGGATTAAGCTCATCTCGAAAATCCACACAGTAAATTCCCTGTGGGTGACGCTCCTTTTTTTTTCTTGCAGCCATTGTGTTTATATCTTTAGATGTTTTACTGTGGGCCTTGTACTTTCTTTGGCTGTTTGAGGGAATTCTGTACAGACTATGATCAAATGAAAACACCAGAATATGAGAATTAGGAAGGAATGGCTGGTTGGTGTCAGGTGACACAAAATCCTGCATTTTGGCACTTGTTTCAGGTGGACGAGTCCATTGTCTTTGAGGCCTGTGGAGCAGTGAAGCCCCGCTATGGTGTGTGGTTKCTGCTGGAAATATTGCTAAGTTAACAGAGAAGTGGGACTGTGAGAGTGTCTGGGACTTGGTTCCCCAATGCTTGCTGTCTGTGTTGGCCACACACCTCAAAACACAGAGGTGTTTTGATCGCAAAATTGAGTGCTGCACTAATGTGCAGGCAYTGGCAAGCTGCTAAATGCTGAGAATGCTTCTAGTGCACATATTTTTTTGAAGTTTTTTTCCATTAAAACCAATAATTTAGTAAAAGTAGGGATAAAATAGTTCCATTTTGCTGCCAAACTCTTGAAATGACCAATTTTCCCCTTCTGTGTTGGTCATTGAAGATCACAGTTACTCTTCTTTATAAAACCTAAGGTTACACAAACGCCTACACTTGTTGTGTCACCTTCTGCCTCTCTAAAGCTGAGTGTTGAMTGCAGGTGTTCTGTGGAGACTGAAGGCAAAACAAAGATGCCAAGTAATTGGTACYCCCGACTCTCAATCCAACGTGTCTCGTGTTGCAGAACATCAGTAAAATRAAAGGCAAGATCTTCAGAGAGCTGCATGCAAATTTTGACTGGTTGTGGTTTTGGAAGTCAAGGAACAAGGAGATACAGASAATGCTTTTTAAGCTGTTCTATCAAATGTCATATCTTTGTTTTAATATTTTATGTGATGTGGCTTCTTTCAGATGATCAGCTGGATTATCTGAGATCAGAGAAAAGGGAGTGGTACTACTCAGCTGCAGAAAATAGGAAGAAAGTACTGCCATGGCAGGGTAGGGCACGGACACAGTGACTGCAGAGCACTGGCTGTTTGTGGAGCTTGTTTGARTGTACACCTCTTACAGACAGCCAGTCACAATTATTGAGGTGGAAGTATTTTATTTATAATCAGTAAGTTTAAAACTAACTTTAAAAAAAGTTTGTACAACACTATTTTAGTATTTTCCCCTGGGATTTGTTAGATAAGACCATTAGAYGTTTGTTTTCTGGACGACTTTCCCATTTGTGTGCTTACTAATTCTAATGAAAATACCTACTAAATTATGTATCTGTGTTAAACAGCTTGCTTTGCAAACAAAGGAAATTGGCCACAACACTCATTTCTTCTATTTTTGTCTTTCTCTTAAAGGGCAACACTTTAAGGAAAATACTCCTGTATCGGTATTTTAAAGGGGAATATGGAAGTGGCATGAATGGGCCTCTGTCTACCAGCTACAGCAAAACTGCACAAGTGGGAGGTAAATCAACACACATCATTTCAGGAGAGCAAAATTAGCAGCACCATTTTTTCTAATGGGCACATTGGACGTGCTCCAGGCATTCAGTTGGTAAATAAATCAAACGTGTTCTGTAACCACTTAAAAGAGAGGTAGTATCAGACTTTTCCTATTTTTAAGTTGTACACGCTTGTCTCAGACTGTGCATTTGGAAGTACCAAAGTAGGTACAGTAAATAAATTCAGAAAAGCATCTCTGTCTTTGGACAGAGATGATGTTGTTTCTGGAAGCTTAGATTTTTTTTTGGTATTCCAGAT